AGTCCCCCAAGCCTTTTTTGACCCCTAAAAGAGACCATGTTAAAACACAGGCAATTTATATTTTTTTATACTTTTTCGCGTGCAACCCTAAACGAGACCTTCACCGCTAAATATGATGGCGTTTTGCCCAGAACACCCTAAGTGAGACCAAAATCCGAAATTTATACCCCTAAGCGAGTCGACGAGCATCCCCACCCCTTTCATCTGGGGACCTTTCCTCACCCCTCCCCGGGTTTGAGTCATCGATATTGAACAATGTACAAATCTTTCCCCGCCATTGCATGGCATAGTAAAATTCACCATAAGTTCGATTCTTTCCCAGAGAGGATTGCAATCCAGGATAATATCTTTCCTTGGGTTTTTACCCTACCTTACTCACTTTAGGTTAAAAAGCTGAAAAGCTCGGTTGGAAAGTTGGTTGACCAATGTTTTGGTGTTATTCCGATATCAAGAGGGAGTCTTCCTAAAACTGGTCCACTGGGTTTCGGGTCGGAGAATCAATTTCCTTTAATCCTTGCCCATGAATTTATCTTGGTCCAAAAGTAATTGGAACCGCATTAGTTTTTGAAAATATTTCAAAATAATATTTTTCGGGAGGAAAATCACTTCAGCGCCCAGTGGCCAAATTTTTGGGGTGACAAAATCCCCACAAAATCCCCACATCTTCTAAACAACATACTTTTTCAGACCAACAAAGGGAATGCCCAAAAAAACATAGAAACATAAGAATATGTTGTGATTTAAGCGATTTATCAGCACAGCTGATCGACTAAATATGTCTATTTTCTATTATGACTGTATGCAATAAACGATGGAAGGTCTTAATACAAAGCCGCAATAACACAATGATTCATTAAACGTATCAAGTATTTTAAACTTTTTATGACTTTTAACATAATAGAACACTATTTAGGAAACGAAACCCTTTAAGCCGAACGCATTAATACTACAGGTGTACCTGTTTACAGCGCTTGGATCCGATCGAGTCGTTATTCCTATGTCTGGAATCGTTATGATGCGAAAACATTTCTTGCTAGCCTGACTAAAATTGAAAGGCAGAAAATTATCTTATCAATAGATTATTCTATTATATTTATTGCTGTTTTTGTTGACAAGCTACAAATCAAGAATCATGCATGCATAAGTGCCTAGTGCATTAACCATAGCAACTTTTAGTTTTCCATTCAGGTTAGCATTTATAAAATAATTGGTTATCACTATGAGCTTTCACTTTGTTTTGTTTTAAGTTTATCGTTTATGTTTGCATTTATTATCATTTTTTAAATATATTTCATATTTCTGGTAGACCGTGGCATAAAACCGACGAGTACAACTGTGGGGCTGGAGACGGGGGCAGAGTGTGGTTGCTGGAAGGAGGCCCGCTAGACTGTTTTTCCGTAAAATCATCGGGATCAAGCACGTTCTGTAAAAGGTGGCCATCTTGGTTTCGAAAGTACCGGGTTTAGTAAATACAGCAAAGAAGACTGATACCTATAGGGAGTACCCCCCCCCCGAAGAAATACGAAAAATTGTCAACGGGTTCCTCCCCTCCTTTCCGTCCCCTAAACTTTTTCATGCATAGTGAAGTTAAAAAGAACCCTTGAAACGTTTCCGTTTGTACACTTTAATAGAAAATACTTTTATGCCAATGCTAATACCAGAAAAAGAAAAAGAACTGCTGTTCAGATCAATATCCATGTTAATGTTGACAAAAGTGGTAGAACTTAAAACTTTCCATAGAAAGTGGAAATCACAACGAGTCCTAGTTGCATTCTATTATTTATTTATCCGCAGTTTATTACTTTGAACACACGAACAACAGTGTAAAAAGAAATAAGTTAAACTATTGGAATGTGATCACACACTTGCTGAGAGTAAGTGCCATGAAAAATTTGAGATTTAACTCAGCGTTCTTTGAAACTGCTACAAGATATTGATTCCCAAATGAAATTTTACGAGGCTTTTAATCGTAACTGGAAAAAGAGAGTATTGTGTTCAACTTGGCGTCAGCATCTTTTATTTAATAAATACTGATATTTACAGCGCAATTTTGTAATGGGATCCATTTCAATAGCTGTATTGACTCTTTACAATTCGTAGACGGTTAACGCTGCAAAGACCTATCCTGTACAGCCACTTGCATTAGTGCCTGGAAAGGAAAACGCATGGGTGACTTATGCTATCAAATATCACTTAAATTGAAAAAGCTCTCAAAAGGTTTCCGTTTGTAGCCCCGTTCACCCTTAACCATCATAGGGTCGACAAGATCGTAAACTTATAATGTGATCCTCTCTAGTGGACAGGTGTAAATATTAATGTATGCCCTAACAACGGGAACCTCAGTACAAGTTTAGACATTGAGCCTTGATACGCCACACCCATTTAACATTTCATGATATACATTATACTACGTCTCAAATTAAACTGGCTTGCCCTTGTTCCACTTTTCTGCTGCAGTGCAAAGGCACCATTTGCTCAGAAATGCATTGATTTGCTTCTCAAAATTGTGCTGGTGACGAAAAACACGAGTGATTTTTTTTTTCTTACCTGACCTCGAGCATGAGTATATCAACCACGAAGAGTAGTGGTGGCTGAGTTAGTGAACCTTGCCAATGCATCACACTTTCAAGATCTGTCAATTCTGCAGACTTCAAGTTTTAACTGTTTCCTACCGATACCAAAAAAAAAAAACATAAAAACAAAAATAATTCCTTAGTCAGGCAAAGAAATGTAAATGAAATATTTTTAAGCTCAACAAGTAAATACCATACATGGCCCTAACCTGAGCAAATTCCTGACATTTCGGGACGTCACCACTAGTTTCCCCTTGACTGAAATAACGTCTGAGAAACGATTGCAGAAATTCCATACTGATGACAGATCTGGGTAGTGCTTCTGATTGGCTGAAGAAAATTTCCCTCGCGGTTCGACCAATCAGAATCACTGCCCGAATCTGTTTAGTGACACTTTCTGCAGTCATTTCTCAGACGTCATTTCGCGCGGGGAAATCAGTGGTGGCGTAGCGAAATGTCCGCTGTTTTCTCAGGCTAACATGTCCCTGCGTTCGCCCTTCTGCATTTCCAGTGACTAATGCAGAATCAAAAAACGAAACGCCATCCGTACTCTTTGCAAACCGCCCGTTGTTATGCATGGCATCAATTTAAATCCACTCTTTGTAGTAGATAGCTGCGAAATCTCTTGCTCGAGTAGCACACTACCATCAAGACCCCTTTTCGCGTGCGTTTTGCTTACATCAATCCGTCATAACCACAATCTGATAGCCTAGGAACAGACTACCTTAGAAGTAGAGGGTCACCAGTGTCTTGTTCAATAGTCCCTATTTTAAGAGATCAGGGAAAGGGTAAAATTTGTAAGTATTCGCTGGCTCCCTTAAATCAGTTTTCGTTCTCAATCTTCTCTCTTTTCTTCCGCCTCAAAACTGGACTGAACTATACGCGAAAGGATGTGGATCAGAAGATAATTTTGAATCCTTATTTTGAACAGCTTTTTTGCCGAATGCTGCCGCGTCTTCCAATTATCTCTTTATCGATGTCTACGACAACAATGCTCCGATTCTCAAGTTCACTGTTCATCGCCCCTACAAAGAATGAAAAAGGATAGATTAATGTTAGGAAATAGGTATACTTTAATTAGTAATTTTAAAACTATTTGAGTTTCCAGTTAATTGGAAACTCCAGTCTAAGCCGTTTTTGTGGTATGGAGACTTAAATCTAAATCAATGTCAGACTGATTTGAGTTTCCTTAATTTGAAAACTCCAATCAAAGCCATTTTTGTGGTATGGAGACTTGAATCAAAGTTTTTTGTGCATAAAAAAAGCTTGAATGCAAGATGACTCCACCATATGGTCTTGAATTATAAGTCTTTACCACTTGATAAATAGACTTAATAAACAAGATTTCACTTTTAATTATCAAGCTTAAATCTACATTGAGCTTTCAAACTGGATTTAAAAAAAATGGAGGTGAAATCAAACTTACAGTGCAGTTAAAAATCACTACTCCGGAATCTGACAAGTGGAAACTTGTATTGAAAGCCTTTTACGTCACAAGTATGAGTTCAATACAAATTTCCTCAAACTTTGGAGTAATTGTGAATGCATGGTTTTCAGTACTTTTTCTTCCTTCTCATTGCAAAGTCTCAAAAACCAGCTATCTAATAAGGCTTAATTCCAAGCTTCTGAAGCTTGAAATTCTTGCTCTGTGTTTTAGAAACTGACGGAAATCGTCGATACTTTTACCAAGATGGTAAGAGTATGAGTTCAATCTTCTTGAACTGAGAAATCATGTTTGTCCAAGATGGATTATCGGAAGCAACATTAACTCGCAGTTAACAGTAGTATGGACATAAATAACCCGTGATCTCTATTTTTACATAATTTATTTAAAAGAACAAATCATATTATTTCACTGAGGTGCCCGGCACATATTAATAATGATAACAATGGACAAAAACGAGCAACCAAAAGACCCGAAAATATAGCATCCGAGAAACTTGTTTCGACGTCAACAGTTATCTGACTGATATATGAACTGACAGCAAGAAAAAAAGGAAGTCAAACCTCCACGTGCAAACCCCAAGAACAACCAAGACTTTCCCAGTCAAAGCCCTGTGATTTAAACCTCCTGCAAACGACTACCTCTCTTTAGCAACCGCGACAGCGGTTGACGGTTTTATAATTTTTTTAAACCTCTTGTAAGCCCACTATGGTTGATCTCTTTGGTCGCCTGTCAGTGCGTACGAAGAAATTTGAGTGACAACATGAAACTACAGAACACATATCGTAACTTCTCTTCTAAAAAGTAAAGAGGGTAAATTCTCCTCCAAAAATAGATGTGTCCGAGCCTCTTTTACGAACAGACCACCATGGTCGCTTACGGGAGGATCGACGGTTTTTACATAGCGTTTAACTATAGTTGAAAAGGTGCCCATTTTTTCCAATACATTCATTCATGTTCTTGAACCCCCTGAGAGACTTACGTGTGGGTGTTATTTCGGGGTCAGTGGTGCTTGGTGTCCCTGCTGGAAGAAACCAAAATTATCATTAATAAGAGCTCTAAATTGGAGTAAAATCAGGAATTTGCTTTGGAACAACTTTGTACTTTTTAAAGTACAAAGTTTTACAGGTGTTACTTTTCTCGTGGTCGTTTGTGGTAACTCTAATGAAAAAGACACTGATAAACAAGCAAAACGAAGAAATTAGTTTCTCTCCAAAAAACGTGGAATTAGCATGTATTTCTGGCCCCAGTTGCTCAAACGTTGGATAGCGCACCCTGGTAAAACACTTTTTAAGATCTTTAAGGGTCTTTGAAGATCTGCACAAGCATCTTTTGAGAACCTTATAAAGATCCATAAGGATCTTAATACCAGTTGTTCGAAAGGTGGATAACGCTATCCATTGGATAAATCAAAATCAGTACGATGATGTCATACATCATGTTCTTCTAGCATGACGCATGCTCCGTTGGAAAAGCTGGCGTTCGGGTCTCTTTTACAAACAGACCACCATGGTCACTTACCCGGGAGGATCGACGGTTATTTTCATAGCGTTTGACGTAAGTTGAAAAGGTCCAATTTATTTCAATACATTCAAGTTCTTTGAACCCCCTGAGAGACTTACGTGTGGGTGTTATTTCGGGCTCAGTGGTGCTTGGTGTCCCTGCTGGAAGAAACCAAATATTTTATTAATAAGATTTTAAGCGAGCTCTAATTTTGAGTATAATCAGAAATTTGCTTCGGTACAACTTTATACTTTAATCTTCATAGGATATTTACTTGCAGGTGTTACTTTTGTGGTCGTTGTCTGTGGTAACTCTAATGAAAAAGACAAATAAACAAACAAAACGAAAACAAAGAAATTAGTTTCTCTCCCAAACCATGGAAATAACATGTATATGTGGCCCCAGTTGTTTAAAAGTTCAATAGCGCTATTCACTGGATAAATCCTTATCCAAAGGATAAGTGTTAGGGAAACCAACTGGGCTATTCAGTCGATAGTGACTTATCCGGTAGATAGCGTTATCCACCTTTTGAACAACTGGGGCCAGTAGGCACCACCAAGGCCCTGTCCACACTTATCTCTGTTTTGTTTGAATTAACGGATATTTTTTTTTTCCGGTTTGTCCTACCGTCCACGCGTAAGCGGACGAAAACGGAGGTTTTCCAATACGATGATGTCGTGCATCATGTTCTTCTAGCATGACGCATGCTCCGTAAGGGATGCTATCGTCTTTCCTTCCTTTTAGCGTTTTCATGTGGATGGCCAAAAACGATTCTAATATGCTAAGTGTGGATGGGTAGTTTTTTTTTTTCTTGAAAACGGAGAAAAAGATCTCCGTTTAAAAAAAACCCGGATACGTGTGGACAGGGCGTAAGATTCAGATATTTTTCTTTGTCGCACTATCGTGACATAAATGTTATGACTTCTCGTTTATTCACCAAACTTCATCACTAGAATGTAAACTAGGAGTAATCGGAGCTTAGAGTGCGTTCGATATGTTTGTTGAGGCGGAAGGGTGGTTTCGATGTAGACAAATATGATTATGGCATATTTTGAACGTAAGGGTTGCGTACAGCGAAACCTCTATTTAAACTGTGTATCATTTTAAGAACGTTTTCAAAAGATATCGTATGGTTCGGTCTCAAGTGCTTTTAATCGGAGGAGACATTGGCCAGCGTCGGACGCGTAAATGGAACATTTTGTTTCACTGGCGCGAGTTACAGGGCGCAGTTTCTCAAAGGCCGATTAGTTCTTAACCCGGGATTCTTTTTCTTTCTTCAAAAACCTTTCTTCGGATAATTTTCTCTGTTATTTTTAACAGCATCCAATCATCAGCTAGTTGACAAAATGAATTAGATTGAATTTACTGGTTTAAAAGCTTTCACATCTGAATTCAAACTTCGCACTAACCCTATCAAAGCCTTCAATGGAACGTGTGTGCGGCTCACGTCAATAACTTTTCCAGTAATTTGGTCGAACGTGTTGATTTCAGTGACTCTCGAGAGAGTGGCGCTACTGTGGGCTGATTTATAAGTTTTTCCTAATAAATAACATAGAGATAAAGTGTTCGTTTGTCTGGTGCCGAAAATATCACAAGTCATGGTCAAATGGCGCCGCCGAGCTTCACATCTCGGTAGATTTACTTTGTGGCACAACGGCTGCCGAGCTACACATGTGTGTGCGGCTTACGTCAATAACTTTTCCAGTACTTTGGTGGCGCTACTGTGGGCTGATTTATAAGTTTTTCCAAATAAATAACATAGAGTTAAAGTGTTCGTTTGTCTGGTGCCGAAAAAATCACAAGTCATGGTCAAATGGCGCCACCGAGCTTCACATCTCGGTAGATTTACTTTGTGGCACAACGGCTGCCGAGCTACACAACTCGTAAATTTACTTTGTGACAAAACGGCCGCCGAGCTACACAACTCGGTAAATTTACTTTGTGGCATAACTGCCGCCGAACTAAACCCGGTTTGATGCATGCACCAGTAGTCGCAGACATTTTCCAAAGACAGTGACGAACCATGCTGAAAAATGTGAAGGCTTAATCCAAAGTAAAATTTAACAGCAAAGTCCTGAAAGATGAACGCTTTGGACGATTCAGCAATCACAGATCGATGTACGCTTTACGGAGATTCAGCAAACTTTTTAAAAGATGAACGCTTTACGAAGAATATCAGACCTTAGCAAACCTTTGAAAGATGAACGCCGAGGACACAAGAATCATCACATGAGTTAGCGCGTCAAACTGAGGCAAAACTTAAGCAAGCGCTTCAAAGCGAGGCAAATGTGTGTCGACGACGACGACGAACGAAAATGAAATCTCAAAAAAACCTTCCTTAGTAATTGCACAGGTCACCCAATAATGCACAGAACACCCAACACAAATTAGGGGTTGCGTTCTCGTACCTCGAACGCAAAAACAAAAGCGCTATTGTCTTCCAAAAATTGAACCTCAACAATGGGCAAAGTTTGATACGCCGTTGACGCATTCAGCGTAGCGGACGGACGTTGTTCCGCTGACTGAACGCAACTTTCGACATCTATTAGCCAACCGATAGTAATCGCATGTTCTCGGCAAGCTTGAGACCATAACACGAAACTACAGAACACATATCGTAACTTCTCTTCTAAAAAGTAAAGAGGGTAAATTCTCCTCCAAAAATAGTTGTGTCCGGACCTTTTTTACGAACAGACCACCATGATCGCTTACGGGAGGATCTACGGTTTTAACATAGCGTTTAACAAAAGTTGAAAAAGTTCCCATTTTTTCTAATACGTTCATTGAAGTTCTTTCAACCCCCTGAAAGACTTACGTGTGGGTGTTATTTCGGGGTCAGTAGTGCTTGGTGCCCCTGATGGAACAAATCAAAATTATCCTAATAAGTTTTTAAGTGAGCTCTAAATTTGAGTAAAATCAGAAATTTGCTTCGGTACAACTTTATATACTTTAATCTTCATAGGATACTTACTTGCAGGTGTTACTTTTGTGCTCGTTGTGTGTGGTAACTCTAACGAAAAAGACAAAGAAACAAACAAAACGAAAACAAAGAAATTATTTTCTCTCCAAAAGCGTGGAATTAGCATTATGTTTCTGTACGACACCACTTATGCCCTGTCCACACGTATCCGGTTTAGTTTTATTTACCGGTTTGTCCTACCGTCACACGTATGTATTCAGTGAATTCTATCACTGCAAATGCATCTTTTCAAAAACGTTCTCCAGAGTGGAGATTCTTGAAAAAGCCGTCTTCTCGTTTACGTGTTGACGGACAAAAACGGAGGTTTTCCAATACGATAATGTCATACATCATGTTTTTCTAGCACGACGCATGCTCCTTAAGGAATGCTATTGTCCTTCCTTCGTTTTAGCGTTTTCATGTGGATGGCCGAAAACGATTCGAATACGTTAAGTGTGGATGGGTAGTTTTTTTTTCTTGAAAACGGAGGAAAAGATGTCCGTTTTCAAAAAAATCCGGATGCCTCAGATTCAGATATTTTTCTTTGCCGTTCTATCGTGACATAACTGTTGTGACTTCTCGTCTATTCACCAAACTTCTTCACTAGAATGTAAGAAACAAAAGCACTATTGTCTTCCAAAAATACATCCTTAACAATAGGCAAAGTTTGATACGCTGTTGACGCATTCAGCGTTGCGGATAGACGTTGCTCCGCGGACTGAAGGTAACCTTTAACATTTATTAGTCAACCGATAGTGATTGCATGTCCTCAGGGAGCTTGAAGCCATCACTGAATTGTTGCCTGCGCGAGACAAACTATATTTTTAGTTTTTGTGGGATGAAGATATTACTTTATAATATTATGTTTTTCAGCAGTTTTTGTCAACGCTACAGCCAATAGCGTACATTCTATGTTTGGCAATATTGTAAAGTTGCAAAATAGGAAAAGCTAAGAAAAACCGGTAGGCTCTAAATCAGCAGATTTCAGAATCAGGTGGGCTGGGCCTGATTTCTTCTTGGTACGGGAAGCTGTTTCCCTCCGTCGACGCCTCGTTTAGGGGAGTAAATTGGAGATTTAATTTTAGGCTCACTTAGAGTCTTCAGGACTGAAAACCAACATTTCAATCATGCAGTTGTCGTTAAGGGCTAACTGATCAATTCTGTCATTAGAGGGTTGATTTGTGGGAAGTAAGGGTGGCAATACGCTAGAAAATTTAGTGCTCATTTGAGTGACAACGTGGAACTACAGAACATATATCGTAACTTCTCTTCTAAAAAGTAAAGAGGGTAAATTCTCCTCCAAAAATAGATGTGTCCGGGTCTCTTTTACGAACAGACCACCATGGTCGCTTACCGGGGGGATCGACGGTTTTTACATAGCGTTTGACTTAAGTTGAAAAGGTGCCCATTTTTTCCAATACATTCAAGTTCTTTGAACCCCCTGAGAGACTTACGTGTAGGTGTTATTTCTGGGTCAGTGGTGCTTGGTGTTCCTGCTGGAAGATACCATATATATCATTAAAAAGATTTTAAGCGAGCTCTAATTTTGAGTAAAATCAGAAATTTGCTTCGGTAAAACTTTATACTTTAATCTTCATGGGATACTTACTTGCAGATGTTACTTTTGTGGTCGTTGTGTGTGGCAACTCTAATGAAAAAGACAAATAAACAAACAAAAAGAAAACAAAGAAATTAGTTTCTCTTCCAACACCTGGAATTAACCTGTATTTCTGGCCCCAGTTGTTCAAACGTTGGAGCGCTATCCACTGGATAAATCACTATCCAAAGGATAAGTGTCAGGGAAACCAATTGCGCTATTCAGTGGATAGTGATTTATCAGGTGGATAGCGTTATCCACCTTTTTAACAACTGGGGCCAGTACCACACCACCAAGGCCATGTCCACAATTATATCTGTTTTGTTTGAATTAACGGATATCTTTTTCTCCGGTTTGTCCTACCGTCCACACGTATGTATTTGGTGAAAACTGTCACCGAAATTGCATCTTCTCAAATTAAAACGTTCTCCAGAGTGGAGATTTTTGAAAAAGCCAGCTTCTCGTTTACGTGTGGACGGAAGAAAGCGGAGGTTTTCTAATACGATGATGTCATACATCATGTTCTTCTAGCATGACGCATGCTCCGTAAGTGGTGCTACCGTCTTTCCTTCGTCTTAGCGTTTTCATGTGGGTGGCCGAAAACGATTCGAATACGCTAAGTGTGGTTGGGTAGTTTTTTTTTTCTTGAAAACGGAGAAAAAATCTCCGTTTTCAAAAAAATGCGGATGCTTGTGAACGGGGCCTAAGATTTAGATATTTTTCTTTGTCGTTCTATCCTGACATAAATGTTATGACTTCTCGTTTATTCACCAAACTTCATCACTAGAATGTAAGAAACAAAAGCACTATTGTCTTCCAAAAATGCTACCTCAACAATGGACAAAGTTTGATACGCTGTTGACGAATTCAGGCAGCGTTGCGGACGAACGTTGTTCGGCTGACTGAACGCAACCTTCAACATGTATTAGCCAACCGATAGTAATCGCATGTCCTCAGCAAGCTTGAAACAATCACATAGAACTACAGAACACATATCGTAACTTCTCTTCTAAAAAGTAAAGAGGGTATATTCTGCCCCAAAAATAGATGTGTCCGGGCCTCTTTTACGAACAGACCACCATGGTCGCTTACGGGACGATTCACGGTTTTTACATAGCGTTTAACTATAGTTGAAAAGGTGCCCATTTTTTCCAATACATTCATTCAAGTTCTTTCTACCCCCTGGGAAACTTACGTGTGGGTGTTATTTCGGGGTCAGTGGTGCTTGGGGCCCCTGCTGGAAAAAATCCAAAATTATCATTAATAAGTTTTTTAAGCGAGCTCTAAATTGGAGTAAAATCAGAAGTTTGCTTCGGTACAACTTTATATACTTAATTCTTCATAGGATACTTATTGCACGTGTTACGTTTGTGGTCGTTGTGTGTGGTAACTCTTATGAAAAAGACAAACAAACAAAACGAAAACAAAGAAATTTTTTTCTCTCCAGAAAGGTGGAATTAACATGATATTTCTGTGCGGCACCACCAACGCCCTGTCCACACGTATCCGTTTTAGTTTTTTTTCCCGGTTTGGCCTACCGTCCAGACGTATCAGGGAAAAACGGTCACCGAAAACGCATTTTTTGAAAAACGTTCTCCAGTGTGGAGATTTTAGAAAAAGCCGGATTCTCGTTTACGTGTGGACGGACGAAAACGGATGTTTTCCAATACGATGTTGCCATACATTATATTCTTATAGCATAACGCATGCTCCTTAAGGGATGCTATCGTCTCTCCTTCGTTGTAGCGTTTTCATCTGGATGGCCGAAAACGCTTCGAATACGCTAAGTGTGGATGGGTAAATGTAAATACGCTAGAATTGCTGCCGTTCATTTTCACCATTTGAAGGCAAGGAGTTTGTTCTTTCATCGATGAATGCCTAATGCATCATCCGCAGAACGAATAGGAAATTAATACAAGAAAGTAAACAGAAAGAAGGAAAAGGTGTACCTGGCGTCGTTGGTGTCGATGATACATATCCGTTGCCACAGTAACGTAAGTAACAGTAAGTTAACGGCTTTAGTTGGTAAACGTAGAAGCCACCACAGTTACGGACTCTGATGTAAGTCGAAAAATAACAACAGTAGAAGTGAGCACTGAAACACACTCTTCTTTGAACAACCCCCTCGTTTACTGTAGGAAGACTTCCATTGAGCCAACCAGGGTAACGTGTGCCACAACGATACACTTCAACACAAGACTCTGCCATTTGATTTCCAGCTGCTCCACTAAATCTGTACCAGTCGGTCGACAGCATATCATCACATTGACGATAAGATTCATTATATGTTTTCGATCTGCTGGTCTCGTTAAGAACTTTGTAATTGTAACATTCTATGAAATAAAGGAAAACTCCGTGTAGTACAATCTGTCAAATTCTTGTCTACTTCTTCAGCTTCAGTTACTACTATATGAGCCTTAGCTGCTTCTATATTATTTTCTTAAAAACGTCTTGGTGTTTAATTCTTATTTTGCTAGAAAATGCAATTTCGTTGGAAAAACGAGGCATGAATTTTGAAATTGAAATTTTGAAAAATGAATGAAAATACGCCTGCCAAACAATGAAATAAAACGATTGTTGTTGTTTTATTTTTGTTAATACCTTGTGCATATGGTGATCCGTTTCCACAGTAACGCAGATTGCAATGGGATTGTCCTTCAAGTTTGTAAACGTAAAATCCTCCACAATGTTGCACAGTTATTTCATTTGAATGATGGCAACAGTTTTCAAAAGAGCTAAAACACACTTGGCGTTTAACGGCCCCATCAGTTAAGTCGGGATGAGTTCCGTTAAGCCATCCAGGTGACTCGGTCCCGCAATGATACATGTTGACACAAGAGTCAGCCATTTGCGTTCCAGCCTCTCCATTAAATCTGTACCATCCATTAAGATTTGCATCGCATAGGTAAGAAATACTTCTGTTATGTGTGATTGCTCTGTTTGACTCGTTGAGGGTTGTGTAGTTGGAACATCCTAAGAGAGGATTACAAGTGACGCAATGATCTATCCTGAGTAATAGGCATTCCATAGCTTATTTGAGAGAGGAGATTTTAAGGAACGAAGCACTTTCTCCCCTTCGCTTTTCTTCCCGCCTCTCCTCCGGAAAGGCCTGAAACTCAGATCTTTAGGCCACCATGTGGAGTCTAAGTTAAACTAGTCACCAACCAAAACATGACACAGAGAAAATGAGGTGTTTGCCCCACCCGGATGAAAAGCAAATTACCCAGATGTTAAATCAAGCAAACAAACAAAAGCAAAAACAAAAAAAAACAAACTTGTCGTTATCTGAATCTTCAGTGAAAGATGTATAATTAGCTTGGCGTCAAGGTTTTCTCATTTTCACTTCTACAACAGCAAATTAGCAATATTTACTTACCGGATACACTGAAGTTTACTTGAGTATATGATATTCTAAATCTATGGCCCCATTGCCTACTACCGTCGGAGAAAAATAATACTTTAATTCGCTCTTTAAACCAATCATACGTTGCTTTGGCTGTTGAACGAGTGTCACATAGACGCCATTTGGGTCCATCGTAGCCTGAAATGGATCCACCTTGAATTTCCAAATAATTACACAAGCAAGACCATATTCCACTGCACCACCAATAAAAATCCATGTGTTCAATAGTAAATACAATTCGTTTTCCCTTTCTTGCCCTGATTTCCCAGCTGCAGCTTTTGTCATCCAAATAACCGCGTCTGGGGTAGAAAGGACTGGTGATGATCCCTGAAATCTCATTCACGGTTGTCATATTTGGACAGACTGTAAAAGAATATTACACACATCTCTTGGAGTATATTCGGAAAAATATTCCAAAGACTATTTTTTTTTTAACACCTTAATATCTCGGTAAAGCAGACTCTTTCCCTTCCCCCTCCTCCAATATTTTCAAAAGCACTTCATTACTGGCGTCTCAATATCCCAGAATCCATCTGAAAACGGCTTAGTGTATCAGCTTTAATGAAATACTTAGATAGATATATTTGTCATGCTAGACTCATATGGGGGCTTAAATACAAAATACTGCTTGCTAATGAAACATGTTGCTTCCTCCCGTCAATTACGAATACTACTACTACAACACTATTTTTTTCCAGCACGAATTTATGTTATCCCGTATTTCTTGGTGATTTTAAGAAGTTTTTAAGCCACGGTATTTCCGGTAACTTTATCCTTCTTAATTTGTTAACTCTGGGCTTTAAACTTCAAAATTGGCGAATGGGGCCTCTTTGGCTGACAAAATTTTCATCTCCACATAACAACTGACGATTCTCGAGCATCCGAATTTCGTACAAATAAGAACAATCTTGAAACAAACTTGTTCTTCAAAATTTACCTGAATGCAGTTTTACCAAGAGAGGTTAAAGGGGACAGAGAAGGCATCCCCCATACACACCCTATTCCGTAGGTAATTCGTCTCGAGTTATTTTTAAGACCACAGATCCCAAGGGGGATTAGACAACAGCCAATCACATAGCGCGAATGTGTTCCGCGTGGATAACCAACGCTAACAGTACAGCAGGGAAATCCTTAACACACTAAATATTCTCTCAGGATCATTTATAATTTACAGTTCGAACAGAACAATTTCTGGTTTGATAATTATTCTTTTATTAGTCTTTTATTATTCAACAAAAATAACACGTGGCGTCCTACTTGCTTTATTGTACAAACGACCGGTTTCAACAGACCGGCGAAACTTCACATTTTATTGAAGCACTGAGGTTACGACAACTTCGAGTTAAACTGATTTCACGGGTTGTCAAAGAGTCCAGCGATTCCCTTTTCCCAGGTGAGCGCCGACTCATTTCGCTTCAATATTCAGGAATGCTCTCGATCTCTTTACGCTTTCATTGCCTTTCGCCCGACATGTTTTGCACGGCGTTTAGTCATGCGAAACCTCCACGAAACATCCACGCAGCGCGCGAGGTAACTTTATCCCGATTCTAAAAATAACTCGAGACGAATTACCTATGGAAGAGGGTGTGTATGGGGGATGCCTTCTCTGTCCCCTTTATCCTCTCTTAGTTTTACTTAACCGTGTTCCATTTGGCATTTAGTTATTCCTATTTTGCTCTTCTACATTGTCAAGCAGTAATACGTTAGTAAGTACCAAAGAAATTGCCTGATAGTGTGAGTAGCTCCATAAAATGTAATTGTTTTAAAGTTTGCCTGTTTGTTTATGACTGTCGTTTCCCTCAATGTAAGGTAATTCGAATACCGGAATCGTTAAATTAAAAACAATTCTACTAGAGGAATCTGGGATCCCTCTGATGAATGGAATCCGAAATCTAACTACCACTGGCAACTGCAATCCAGTTCCTGCAATCCAGAATTCACAGCGTGGAATGCAGAATCCAAGACTTTCTTGGATCACGTTTTACAGGGCGAGTTGTTGTTGGTGATGTTTTTCTAATCTTAACTTAATCGTTGATGTCTTATAAAAAATGTATACCACGTACCTGAACTATACGTTATAGCCGTGTAAGTTGCATTAAACCCTGGGTACTGACTGCTCAGAGACGTGAATATGACTTGAACGGAATTCTCTACCGAGTACACTGGAGGAGGAAGAGACTGACCGCACAGCATGAACGGCTGATACCCATCATCTGCAGCAACATTTGTGACTGTAACAAGGGCTCCAGGAGCACTATAATAGCAGGGACTGTACCGATATGGCACCAATCGAAAATAGAAGAAGCTGAGTTTAATAATGTACCCGCTGGGAACTGTGATATTCCAGGTACATCTGCTGTACTGAGGGTAGTTGCTTGGAAAATTTGGAGTTGAAAAGGATCCACTAAAACCATTAAGATATTCGCGAGAGGTACAAGCTGCAACAAGAGGAAATAAACCATGATTTAGCTTGTTTATAATCCAAATCAAAGAGTAATCTGTCTGTAAACCAAAACAAAAAACAAAACAAAAAAACTCAATCGAAAGCATTGCGATAGATAAACATAAAAAATGAGATTTTCTACCAAACACTTTTAAAAGCATCATATCAAAGTAACTTGTTGGCATTTCATCGACATTTTAGTTTGTGTTGCTTTACTCTGTGAAGTATTTGAATGTTACAGTTGCCGTGACCCTGTTATAAGGCAATAATATTTTATATTCGCTGCTTGAAAATTGACAACCTGGTCGCCTTCACATAAACCTTTAACTTTGCGTTTAAAGCCGATTTCTAATAACTTACCGGTGGTTGTTGCATTATATTTCACTTTAATGTAAGTTGCCTTAAATCCACGATACCCCCAGTGTGTACCACTAAAAGAAACAAACGTCACCCTCAAGACATCTTTTGCCGAATGATATACTGTCCCACGGTCATAATAGTATCTACATCTTCGCCTGCCTGAAATGCCATCAGAGGACGATCCATTTTGTATTTCCAGGTAGTCACAAGTGCAAGATGAACCACAGTTTCGAATACGAATCTCTTCAATGACCAACACAATGCGTTCTCCTTTACTTGCTATAATTTTCCACCTGCATTTCTCGTTAGAAGGGTAAGGCCTTGGATAGTAAGGACTAGTAAGAACTCCTGATGTCTCATTCAGGGTTGCCATATTGGGACAGACTGCAAGCCATATAAATGGACTGAGCGTAAGTATTGAGAATAATTAGAACTATACCACTTTCAAGAAAGAATCTAGTTAAAGGAGCTGGGTCACGAAATTCAGGCAAATTAGGAAATTACAAAATGCCCGTTAAATAGAGAGAAAACATAAAAATATCCGCTTAAAACTTTAAAGGAAGGTTAAAATAACATAACAGAAACAACAGATGCCACGGATGGGCAAAACTGAGAAGAAGATTAAAACGGATTGAAATTAGGGTTTTTGAAAACTGGTCAGCCTAACAGTTTTTCAAAGTTGATCCCTGCTGCTTGCAACTTCAAAAATAATGCTCAGGAGACATATTTGTTTGTCTCGGATCTCTGATTTTGTCATTTACATGTAATTTCTTTGCTTACGTAAAGTTCCATAGCGATTGAGAGCGAGTAATTGGCAAAATTAAACAAAATGAACTGGACTGTCGTGACACAGCCCCTTTGACGTGAGAAGGATTAGATCGAAACCAAATGCGGGACGGAAGGACTAAATAATCTCGGGATTCGCCAGAAGCTTTTTTGTTTGTTTCTAGAATACCTGGCTTCTTTTTAATTATCGAGATTATATTGTGAACAAGTCACAGACAATTGACTGCCTTCCTACGATGTTTTTAAGAGTCCGTTCCGTGACTCAAACGAACATTTTAGTGGGTATTAGGCGCCTGCGCTTACTCTGGCATGAAAAATAGTTCTGTCGTTCAGTTTGTCTTTCTTTGTTATGAAAGCCCATGCGATCAACAGCTACATTAAGAAAATTCACAAACAACGCAGCATTATAACTATGAGAAATATGTTCGTGGGTAATTATAATCTTTAAAATCTTTTTTAAAAGCATACTCGGAGACCCAGGGGTGAGCAGTTGAGGGAGGAAAAACGGCGTCGAAAGCTTTCAAGAACAGGAGGGAGGACCCCAGGGATGCTACTCTTGACGACCAGTTTCACCACTTATTCGAATAATTATCTGTGATTTGGCACAAAAAAATAATCTAGTGCCCAACAAGAGGCCAGCATTTATCGCGTTGCTTTCGTGATCACCTCAGTATACGAGGAAGTTTAAACGCAAACTCGATTGTTAGCCATACATGTTTGGCTCTTGCAGGAGAGATTTCTTCCGCGAAAATGGAACCCGCAAAACCAAAGAAATTCATAATGATCCGATTCCAGAAAAAAACCCGAAGTTACATGGAAGTGAGGCTTAATAGCCCTTGCGGCAAATTTAAATTAACTAACACAGCGGACGATCAAGTCGATCTTACTCCAGGGGACATTCCTGATGCTGGCTTTAGTGAAGAAGAGATAGAAAAATTGACCGTTGCAAAAACTAAAGTTTTGGTTAAAATGCCGCCGTAAGAATCAA